ACTTGGACATTTTAATATCCTCGAACTTGAGCTCGGCTAGCTTCTTGTCATTGGCGTCCATGTCTTGGTAGTCCTGCGGTAGCTTCGGTTCTTCTGTCAAGCCAAGAGCATAGTCATCATCGACCGACAAGAACTCTGGGAAGCGGGCCTGTAGGTATAGTGGCGAGACTACAATCGACTGCCATTCAATGAGCGAGCAGATCTTAGTTGGGTCTTCAGGCTTGCTATAGATGTTACCCATATGGAGGTCGGTGTGCCACAAGACTGGCCGCGAGACCCTATTGATGAGCGTCACTGTGTCTAGCCTAGACATGACCTCCTTTGCCATGTTCAGGACGGCAAACTGTTCATCGACCGACCCGCGGGGTGGTTCAAATGTAGAGGCCAGACTCTGTTGCTCAATGCGGAGCCTTTCGCGCTCCACGAGCGCAAGACCAAAAGATGATAGGTTTGGCCCTGCAGAGTAGCGTCAGCTTAGCAAACGATGCATGCCGTAACCAACTTACATGGTCCGTTGTTGACCTGAGAAGGTGGCGCCATTATCTTTCCTTGGGCTGACCACGCTCGCTCGCAGGACGGCCCGATGCAGAATTGTCCAGATGGGTCTACGGTCCGGTCCAAAGCAACCCAGGGCTCGCCGTCTGTCATCGACTCGCAGAGGTACAGACTTCCGTTAGCGGGGAATTGAATTGACGCCAACTCGGCCTCGAATTGCGTCAATTGCTCCACGAGGCTGAATTGTTCTTGGATAGTCATGGCGCTCCAAGTCGTGAACAACTGTTGGCCAGGAACCTTTTCCATGACTATGTATTCGACACCAACGGGGTTCGACGCGTCAGAGCTCCAGGCTAGGACTTTAGGAACGGGGACTCGAGTATGGGTACTTACTACCATTAGCGATACGGTCAGTCTTGGATCCAAATGAATGTTAAATAGTTGTAAGCATAGCGACCTTGCGAGTGAATACATCTCAGACTTGTCAACAATCAAGCCACTGATCGGCTTGATTGTTGGGAAGTCTGCTACATCTCTATTGCCTTAATGCGAAATTCAGTCTGATCTTTCCCTGCAGGTACAACTCTGTCCGCCATACCCACATAACAGAAGACATTAAGGGAACCATATCTCTGAGTCATATCGCTGTTTCATCCTTGACAATGAGCGCTTAATTATATACAGAATGTGAGGGCTGAGCAAAATGGTGTTTTGTATCCGTGTGCAGGGGTGAAGCCGCAATCGACTGTACCTATACTGTTCTGCAAATAATGATCATTTATCATACGTACTTGTTTGGCTGCATATCGTGGTGGGTGGGGACCTGCGTCCTAGCAGCCTGTCTCAAGCAGAAGCTTGACTACCGCCTCATTTCTGTTCTCTTTTGCCCATAATAGCGGCGTCTACCCGTCGTGATCCTCTGGCTCAATGTTGACCTTGCCTGTCTCAAGCAGAAGCTTGACTACCGCCTCA